GGCATAGTAAGCACAGCTCACTGGTCTCCCCACACCCACAGCTGCACAGCTCTCCTGGCTTAGCACCCACATCCAAACACTACTGATCTCTGAGCTCTATGGTAGTCTGCCATGCAGATGCATATTCACAGGCAAATTCATCCTTTGGACAAGAGGATGATGCTGCTGTTAAAAAGAAGCATCAGTTTATGCCCTGATAAAGCAAATGGTGCATTTGTTATATAGTGAATGAGAGGCATATCATGAGTGACTTCAGAAACCCCAACGAGTCCAAGAGAATATTTAAGAACTGATTGTAACAATGGCATATTTTTCTTTTTTCCTTCCTTCAATCCACTACTTGTCACTTGTGTTACAGCAGCTCAGTGCCAGAAAGAGCTGGTATTTCTCTTGACAGGACATACATTCTTGATACATAGGCAACCTCTGCAGAAGAATCTGTAGAAGAATATTTGTGGAAAGAGGACCTTGAGCTGAGTATTAGTGGTGTCCTTACCTCCCTCTTAATTCTAGTCTTTGTAAAGTTAGACATGTTAACCTGAGAAAGCTGTATTAGCCTCCCCTGTAATTTGTGCAAAAGGGCTGACTGTCCTGATACAGAAAAATTAATTACTCTGTCCTGGGCATGCCTGTTTTTACTGTAGGTGGAAGATGTGTAGAGTGGGCATCTAATCTTTATATGTTGAGTTGAGTAACATAAATTCCCATTCCAGATGCTGCCTTTTTTTTTTTTTTTTTTTTTTTTTTTTTTCTTCTGTTGTGCTGTCATATTTAAATACAATGATTTCTGTATAGCTCACCAACTTCTACAGTGGAAGAAAATGTACATGTGACAAATTGCACGTTATTTCTTTTCCCACAATAATTTAGGAACTACAACCAAAATCACTACAATTCCAATGACATCCAAACCCAATGTGATTGTTGTGCAAAAGACTACTGGAAAAGGAACTACGATTCAAGGGCTTCCAGGCAAAAATGTTGTCACAACGCTGTTGAATGCTGGGGTAAGTCAGAGTTTCAGGTCTCAAATCGATAGCCAAGTGACAGGCTGTGTGGTGGCTGCTGCGTTCATTCTGCTAAAGTCCTGATTAAAAGCAAACTGTGCATGAGCTCTTTAACAGCTACAGCATGCCTTAATGTCAGGGATGTTTGAAAAGCAAGTATGTTTTGCGGGGTATGAAAGATGCTTAAAACAAGCTGAGAATGTTTTCAAAGTTAAAAAAAAAAACTTTTGAGCTTGCCTTTTGTCCTTGATTAATAATTTTGTAATCCTGAAGGGATTAAGTAGAAGAAAATTTCTAGAATCTTAGCCTGTTTGTGCTCTAGTGAGAACCACGGCTCTGTGTTATAAACTTGCATCTCCAACCATTTATCTTTTGGATGTAAAGGGCAAAACCAAACTGTCCTTTCACAGTAAGGGTACCACCTTTCAATTTATATGGTGTGTGACACTGTAACAACCCGTTCCTGAGTTATTGTATATTTTTTTGTATAACCTCATGCGTACCAAGAACGAAACTAAGTTTCCAGCTTCAACTGAGTTTACCTATAAGGGCTCGTAAATATGACTGATGAACATGCTTTATGTTCCTATATAGAACTGTGAGATTTAATGCATTAATCATGTAATCTTTAAAAGTCTACTTGAGTAGCAGAGTTCAGTAGGGAGGTTATTTTGAAATCTTTTAGGAATTTTTTTTTTTTTAAGATTCTGAACTTTTCTAGTTTACAAAACTTAAAGCTGTATTTTTACACAAGCGGAGATCTTGTGACATTAACAGTAGGAACCTCCAGAATGTGGTGATATTTCTGAAACAAGTAAGGTTCTTGGGGTTTTCAGCTACTTGGTGGGAATTGGTAGGAATACTGGGAGAATTGGCAACTAATGTTGTTCCTCATCTGGTTTGTTCCTGTGCAGAGAAAAAAAAAAAAGAAAAAAAAAAAAAAAAAAAAAAAAAAAAAAAAAAAAAAAAAAAAAAAAAGGCGTGTTCAATAGCTTTGCTGGTCTTAAGCTATCAGGAGTCTAGTCATGTGTCAGCAGTATTCCACAGTCAAATGTTTCCTGTGAAACAGCTGTGAATCTGCTTTTTTTTATTAGGTGAACTTTTAGTTTAAAAAGAAGTCTATACGTAATTGATGTCTTGGTCATGAGGATAATAAAGATCATGATTTATTTTTAGAATCTCAAGTTTTGTAGGTGTCTTGCCAAATTTACTGTTAATAGAAATAAGGAGTATTAAAAAAAACATTTGCAAAGGATTTGAGGAAGGTTCCAACTTAAGCGAATTCTTTGAGGCGACTTCAAAAAACCTGTCAGTGTCTTTTAGTTACTTCTTTTTGTTCACCCCTTCAGAACTGCTCAAAAGGTAAAGTAATGGACAAGGGGATTTCGGTAGCTTTTCCTTTCAAATCTGTAAGGTTTTTCGTTCTTGGTCTTTGAACGTTTTTTGTATCAAACAAGTCTAGTTGCAGCAGCAGGAGCAGGTTGTTGTCGTGGTACACACGCTCACCTATAACTGTATTTTTTTTAGAGAAGTGGGTCTCTCTGAAGAATTTCACTAAGTTAACCTGTAAACTTTGACTTCTCTACAGGGGGAGAAAACTATTCAGGCAGTGCCAGCAGGAGCAAAACCTGCTATCATCACTGCCACAAGACCCATCACAAAAATGATTGTTACACAGCCAAAAGGAATAGGGTCCACGGTCCAGCCAGCCACCAAAATCATCCCAACTAAAATTGTTTATGGTCAGCAAGGGAAAACGCAGGTACAGTGAGGACCCATTTCTGTCTTGAAATGTACCCCTAAATTTTAATGAGAAGTAAATATTTTTTCACTGTGTTGCTGCATTTGTTGTAGGATTAATATATGTCTGTGGGGAATGAGACTTAGAGGTGTAATGAGGTGGCCTTGATTCTGATTTCTTGAGCATTTTAGCTGTTTCTGGAGGCCTAGAGCAAGCTAAAAGGATTTACTAAGCCTTTTACATAACTGAAATTGTCTGGTCATGGCTCTAGATGCCTGTTTTTAAGTCCTACAGCTAATGGCTAGATCATGAGAAATAAAGATTTGGAGTCTGGACATAAGCCATCCATCAAATCTGAGGTTTTACTGAAGTTATTTTCCACTTAATATGTGTTCAGGTTGTCCCTGCAACCTTGTATTAGTTGGTGGGGCTGCATACAGAGAATCTGGCTTATTTCTGGACGCTTTCAGCTTTTTCTCTGGTTGCATTTAGTGTTTAAAATAACTAAATTTTTATCAGATATAACATATTGCGTGTCTTGATTGTTCAAGACTGTATTTATTGTGGGCTGCAGAAGAGAGGTGCTTGTCCTTATCAGTGCCATGCATGTTCCAGCTCACTTGTGTAGCTTCCTCTTGTCACACCATAGTTGTATCTAGCCCTGAAAAATTAGTTTAGTGGTTTATTGTGTTAAGTACTCCAAATTACGGAGAACAAGAATTACATTCTTGTGCACTGCTATTTACTTGGGCTTTGTGTTTTAATAATCAGAGCTGCTGAATTTACAGGTAGACTTTTTCAGTAAATGATTAATATTATATAGATCTTAGATGTTTATCTATCTTAGTGGCATCTTTTACTGATTGCTCCGATCTGTGTTCTTGAATGCTCTTAATAGACGCAAAATCTGTCTTTCTAATTAGGTTCTCATAAAACCAAAGCCAGTGACATTTCAGGCAACGGTTGTGAGTGAACAAACTAGGCAGTTGGTGACTGAGACGTTACAGCAGGCATCAAGGGTAGCAGAGACAGGAAACTCGTCTCTCCCAGAAGTGAAAGAAGAACCACAAACGTACACCGATAGCAGTTCTTCTTCTACAGAGTCCTCCCAGAGCTCCCAAGGTGTGTATTGGTGTCGCAGAAAATACAGACTGTCTCCCAAGAATGCTAGCTAGTTTCATATAACTTGCTGTGTCTCCTTTTAGCACGGGTTTTCACCCAACCTGTTAGCAGTTGAGTGTCATTGTTCACTTCTCTCATGGCTTTATTTACCTTTTATGGGCTCTTTACTATATGCCTCCATTTCCTATGTGAAAATCAGGGATAGTTGTTTCTTGCTGGGCTCTGACTTGCTTTACAATGCTTGTGGCCTGCCAGAGATAGGTTTTGTTGTGGTTTGGAGGTTTGGTTTTTTTTGGCAGCCCATGCTCTGCCACCCTCTTTGCTGAGTGTATTGAAGCATCTCTCCACTGGATGACTGAAAGCTGTCGTGTGACCAACATAAATTTTGGTGCTTTTATATACGTGCATCAGGACGTGTATCAAACATGCAGTCCTGATGGGGATGCTGCCATGGCTTCAAGCCATGATGCGGATGCAGCTCTGTGTGGTAGAGTAGGATAAATAATACAGCATAAATTACACCCAGCCTTTGGTCAGGAGTCACCATAAGGTGTATCACTGCATCAAATAAAAGCAAATATCTCCCAGTGAAACGTGTACTTATGTCCCTTTCCGTCACCTTTTCTATGTAATTCTGTAACTGTTGGTCTATACTGCCATTTTAAGAAAGTTTTAAGAAGTTCTGAAGATTCAACAAACTTATCAAAATATAAGGGCTGTTAATTCAGAATGCTGAATACATGTTGATCACCTGAACTGCTAAAACCTCCTGAAAAAGAGTTCAGTCCAAGGCAAACTCAATTTACAAAGAAACCTGCTCAACTTTGATT